CACGTCGTTGAGTGTGATGTGCGTGCGGCTTCGTTGTGCCTTGAGCACGACGATGCCTTACGCGCTTGCTCGAAGGCGTGTGTTGTTGGCCACGGTGACATAGGTGACTGTGGGGGTGGCAACGGCGTTGGATATGTAACGCTCGGAGCCCACCATGTGCTGGCCGCAAAAGCTGTCTAGGTACCAGGTATTGTAGCGCTTTCTGTTGTCACGTGCGAGCAGCGCCAGTCGCGGCATGACGATGTGCGGAGTGTCAAACTTCCAAAAATTGTTCGCACGAGAGCCAGCCAAGTGGTGCCACCTGCATATCAAGTACGTGCAAAGGACTTTCAAGCAGCGGGACTGAAAGATTCCAGTCTTGGTCGTCGTCGTTGGTGAAGTCGCGGCGCGGACTGAACGGGTTGTTGGAGAACGCGCCAATGGGGTGCGGTGCTGGCTCGGGTGATGCTAAGCGCACGCGGCGTCGACGCAACTTGCCTGTCATGGCCATGTTGCTCATGACATTGCATACTGGGGCAGTCGATGACGGCTACTGTTGTTGATGCTGAACCGCTGGGTTCAGATTGCGCGCGGGTGGGGGTTGATACCCCTGGGCTAGACGCACGTCGCCTCGTGCGTCTTGTCGGCATGACTAGTTACTCGGATTGGTCTGGCGAGGGCGAGATCGGAATTTACATCGATCCGCCAGGTGCCCGAAATTTCTGCAAATTTTGCAGTGGAGGCGCCACGGCTTTCGCTCTTCGTTGTTGTCGACGTAGAATGCGAGCCGTTCTTGTTCTCGTCGTGGCACTGGTCGCTGCTGATCCATATCCCGTTGTGTGAAGAAACAAGAAATGAAGAAGAGGGGGTTCACTAGCAAGCAGTTGAGTACATATAGGAAACCCTAAGTTGGGCTGTACTCACTATTGAGTACCCCACTACAGGCTAGACAAACATAACATTCTGACACGTTGTTCGACAAGAAGGGCGGCGCAAAGGGCGGCCTCCGAGATGACCCCCTGCTGTCGGAGAAGCGCCTTGCAGGGCCGCCACTCTGGGCCGAGCCCTTAAAGTACGATGTTTACGAAAATTTCTTCCGAAATCGAACTTCCCAACTTCGCGATTTGATCGCGAAGGCTCCGACAGCGATTGATGTAGTTGTTGGCCTTCTCCCCTGGGGCCATTTTGGTTTACAGCAGCTGCTGGAGCAGCCGACTCGAAAAAACAGAGTCCTTTGGCTGATACACGCCGTTGAGGTGGCGCCAGGCGTCGAGGGCTGGAGCGGCTGATGTCTTGTATGAGCGAATGCTCAATTGCTCCGCCGGCGACATGGTCCGTAGGAGCACCCCGTACGCCATCAGAGGTTCGTTTCAGCATCTCGCCTTGGCGTCGTCGGTATCCTCGGTAGGCTCCGTGTAACTCCCGTCGAAATAATGAAATATTTGGGCGTTTTGCAGCAAGAGCTCCAGTTCGAAGCTCCAGATATATAAATCTATGTTGCAAAGCATGTGCTTGTCTTTATTCTTGATATGCTGAGGAACCCTGATTGTGCAGAGAGAATTACCTCTTAACTGGGACGGAGAGCCTTGGGGGTTGAGCCATTTGTGTCGAGGGAGAAAGTGTGCAGGGCGACGTTCTGCCCAGTTAAGGCCGGTTGAGAAGGTTGAGAAGATGTTCCCGCATCGCCGTTCCGCAATGTTTGGAGCCCTTGCTCCAAGCTGGTGAGTTGCTGAAGAAGTTGTGTGAGGACTTCGGTCCCGATCGTCGTTTCCTCACTTGTCCCAGCCGGATTGGTTTGTACTTCAGCCGTCAGATTGGTCTGACCACCAGATCCTCCGGCCGTTCTCACACACGAGCGTGTGCCAAACGCCACTTTCCAAATGTCGTAATTTTCGAGAATGGCAGTGCGAAGGATTCCCGAGTCGCTCTCATACGATGCTGCGATCAGAAGATGATCGCTGCCAGAATCTCCTCGGGAAGGTTTGCACGCAGTTAGATAGACTAGGTGGGCCCTTGACCTCAATAGCAGAGTGAATGTAAAATGCTTGAGATGATAAAACACGCAGATACAGCGATATAAATAAGAGTACATGGGAATACGAATCGGCCTAGCTAGCCATGTACCCTAAGGGGTACATTCCCTTATTCAAATTCATTCCCAACCGTGGGGCGCGTACAGTTACGAAACTGTTCCCGCCAGAATCCCTCTTGCCTGCAACTGCCCGATGCCGTCTGCTCCGACTATCCAGATCCATCCCACCCGTCTGACGCTTCAAGTCAATTCTGACTCTTCACATTCGTTCTCGATACTGCTTGCTTCCTTAGCTTTGGTGAGGAGTGCACAGTAATGTTCAGACATTACTATTCGTAACACGGTCCCTGGCGGAAGCAGCAGGACAGCGACAGATAGTGCACGAGGTACGTCACATCACTGAACGGGTCTTCCTTCACGTGACGCCAGTGGTATTTGTCTCGGGATGCGGGACTACCACGTCACGGATCTTATCTGTGTCGAAGCTCGAGACTAGGTCAACCACACGGTGGAAACCCGCGCCTTACAGGAACGCCAGACGACCGCGCTTTTGCAGCTTCACGACCGCAAGCGATTCATAGACAATGAGCGGCGTGATCTCCGCTGGGACCCCGTTAAGCAGAACTTCCACCCCCTCCAGCAGGTCGCTTTTTGCCTTCAAGAAAGCGCGGTTTGTTGAAATGAACAAACAGGAAGGAATGAACTAGGAGTGAAAACAGTACAAATACCTAACCCTAGAATTTTGTACCCCCTATAGGCTAACCCACTGTAGCCTAAACAAGCACAACAACATATATAATGTTAGACACACCCCCATAGGCGAAGTGGGGGAGAACTAGGGGTCACAAGACCAGTCAAGGCAAAGCAAGGCAAAACAAGCTCAGGGTGGATCTCAAGGATACCACACAAATTCCGAGCACTAGCAAGTGGTCACAAGACCAGTTCACATGCACGTTTATAATAGAACAAGAGGTACAATGATCACAACCTAGCAAGAGTAAACATGCAGGTATATATATATAGAAATCACAGTACAAACAGACTCAAGAAGTAAGCAAGTGAGGTCCAGTAGGCACAAGGCCTAGAAGAGTGCAAAAGCGCTGATGGTCACAAGGCTGAAGCGCCTTGGTGAACACATCAGCAGTGTTGGCCTCAGAGGCCACGTAACGCAAACAAAGCTGACCATGCTGCTGCAGCTCTTGAGCAAGGAAGTAGCGTAGAGCGATGTGCTTCGTTCTGTGCTCTTCACACAAGGCAATGGCTGCCTTGTTGTCAACGTACAGCAAGTAGGTGAGCTAGCGTAGCTCCTGGGCCGCCATGGCTGTGGCGTAGATCTCAACCTCTCAACTGGATCTGAGAACTGAAGAAGAGCGAGTAGAATGCCAAGAAACTGAACCAGAGTCAAGACTGAAGGTGTAACCCTAAGACGACCGCTGAGTAGCCTGGTCATCTGCCCAAGAAGCATCTGAGTGCCCAGTGAGAACAACTGGGACTCGCCCTCCAAGCACTAGCCCCATACCCAATGTACTGCACAAGTAGCGCAACACCCTCTTAGTTGCATCCATGTGCTCCTTCCGGTGACGGCCGGGAGCGACATAGCGTGCAAGAATGCTAAGAGGGTATGCAAGGTCAGGTAGATTGCAGATCATCAGGTCCATGAGGCAACCCACAAGCTCTGGATATGGGCCAATCGGCTCTACGGACTCATCCAAAGGCAGAGCTGAGAGCGAGTGACCGGTAGGCAGAGGAGTGGGTGTCAGATTTATATGACATAGTTACCGTAGGCTATAGTGGGATAACACACATGGGGTACAGGTTTCTAGGGTTGTATTTGTACCATTCTTTCCTTAGTCATTCTCATTCATGTTCTACAACTTTCACATGGTATAGAGCGGGTTCCCTGTGGGAACTTCGCCTAGGGCCCACCGAAGCGCGCCCCGAGGCGCGCTAACTTTTTTTCTCTCTCTCTCGAGCGACCCTCCGTGTCGCCCTTCCCTCGCGGCCCCGCCGCCCCTTCAGACGCGGCCCCGCCGCCCTTTCAGACGCGGCCCCGCCGCCCCTATCGGACGCGGCCCCGCCGCCCACTTCGAACGCGGCCCCGCCGCCCTCTCAGACGCGGCCCCGCCGCCCTCTCAGACGCGGCCCCGCCCACCCTTTCAGACGCGGCCCCGCCGCCCACTTCGAACGCGGCCCCGCCCGACCTTTCAGACGCGGCCCCGCCGCCCATCTCGGACGCGGCCCCGCCGCCCCTTTCGCACGTGGCCCCGCCGCCCTTTCAGACGCGGCCCCGCCGCCCACTCCGACGCGGCCCTGCCGCCCGCTCAGACGCGGCCCCGCCGCCCGTTCCGACGCGGCACCGCCGCCATCACTCGCGGCCCCACCGCCTCGTCGCGGCCACCCCGCCCTGACGCGGCCCCGCCGCCTCCTACCTGCGGCCCGTTGCCGCCCTACCCGCGGCCCAACGGCCGCCCAACAGCGGCCCACCTGCCGCCCTACCTGCGGCCCGCCCGCCGATTTCCTTGCGGCCCGTCGCCGCCCTACCAGCGGCCCACCCGCCGCTCTGCCCGCGGCCTACCCGCCACTCTGCTCGCGGCCCTACAGCCGCCCTACCTACGCGGCCCAGCAGCAGCCGAGCCGCCCAGCCGCAGCCGAGCCGCCCAGCCGCAGCCGAGCCGCCCAGCATCAGCTGAGCCGCCCAGCAGCGGCCGAGCCGCCCAGCAACATCCGGGCCGCCCCGGCGCAGCCGAGCCGCCCAGCACCAGCCGTGTCGCCCAGCAGCAGCCGAGCCGTCCCAGCACAGCCGAGCCGCCAAGCACCAGCCGAGCCGCCCAGCAGTAGCCGAGCCGCCCAGCAGCAGCCGGGCCGCCCAGCCGCAGCCGAGCCGCCCTGCAGCCGTCAAGTCGCCCTACCTGCCCTGTCTGGTGAGCACAGCACTGCCCTACTGCTACTGCGTGCCCTTCCCCACTGCTTGCACTGCTAGTCTGTCGTCATGGCTACCCCCAGTGTCCTAGCTTTTGACGCTGAGGGCAGAGCCATTGACTTTGAGGTCTGGGTCGACGACCTGCAGTTGTTTTTGCAGTGCGATAGGGCAGACGGTCTTCCTCTCTTTGACCTCACCTCTGGCGCCTCTCCTGCTCCTGCTGCTGATGCTGACCCCACTGTTCGCTCTCAGTGGGCCACCCGCGATGCTGTTGCGCGCCTTGCTGTGCGTCGCCACTTGCCCACCACTGAGCGCGCGCACTTAAGTCAGTACAAGAGTGCTCAGACTTTGTACGACGCTGTAGTTGCGCGCTACTCCTCCCCTGCCACTGCTGCACTGAGCCGTCTCATGCTACCCTACCTCTTCCCTGACCTCACTGCCTTTCCCACTGTCGCTGACCTCATTACGCACCTCCGCACTAGTGACACTCGCTACCGCGCTGCCCTTCCTGCTGAGTTCTGCGCCAAGAACCCCCCCCCCATGTACATCACTCTCTACTACGTAGTCGCACGCCTCCCTGACTCCCTTCGCGTAGTCCGGGACCACTTTCTCTCAGTCTGTCCCACCACCCTCACTGTCGACCTCCTCGAGAAGGCCCTCCTAGCGGCGGAGAAGAGCATCGTCGCTGTAGGAGCTTCTCGTGGTGACCCTCGCACTCCCATCTTTGAGGGGTGCTCTCCTTCCCCCCTGCTGCCCTCTGTTGCCTATGCTGCTCCTGCCGACCTGCTTGGTCTTGAGTCGGTCGGCGCGGCGTCTGCCCCTAGTGGGAGACGCCGCTCTGGCAAGGGCAAGAGGGGCAAGGGCGCGGGTGGAGCTGGAGGGGGCGGTGGAGGTGGCGGTGGAGGCGGCGGAGGGAGTGGGGGTGGCGGCGGGAGTGGTGGCGGGGGTGGTGGTGGTGGTGGCAGCGGCGGAGGAGGCGGCGGTGGTGGCGGCAGCGGTGGTGGTGGTGGCAGCGGTGGAGGTGGAGGCGGCGGAGGAGGCGGAGGAGGAGGCGGTGGTGGCGGAGGGGGTGGAGCTGGTCGGGGTGGTACCCCGCAGCGGAGCGGCGCTGGTAGTGGTCAGCGCCAGCAGCAGCAGCAGCAGCAGCAGCGGTTCGCGGGACATCCCTCCGCCCCAGCAGCTCCGTGAGTGGTACACTCGGCGTCAGAGGGGTGGGGGTGCTGGTCCGTGTACCTACGTCCTTCGTTCCGGCGACCGCGCGGGTGAGCAGTGTGGGGGTGCCCACCCCACCCAGCGCTGCTTTGGCCGCCTGACGGACGCTTGGCGTCAGCAGTTCCCCGAGGCTAGTGAGATTCCCCGCTGGGATGAGCTTCTTAGGGCTGGTGTAGCGATCTTTGATCTTGACTTTGATGCTATCCTTGCTGCTATGTATGCTGTGACTATTAGTGAGGAGGGTGACTGTTACCGGTGTTTCCCGCCCGACCCGGACATTGGTACTGCTGCGCAAGGTGCTTGTGAGGCTGTTGCTCTAGGTGCCAGTGCGTCTGCGCTCTCAGGTACTGGTGAGACTGCGCTCTCAGGTACTGCGTCGCCTTCGTCCTCCCTCACTTTCACACTTGACTACGGGGCTTCTCGCTCCTTCTTTCGAGACCGCACCACCCTCACGCCGCTTGGCCGGCCGGTTGCGGTCTCCCTGGCTGTCCCCTCTGGGGGTCCTGTCCTCTCTCACTTTTCCACTGTCCTCCCATGTCCGGCTGCCCCCTCGGGCACCGTGTCTGGTCTGTACCTTCCCTCGTTCTCTACGAACTTGGTGAGTGGTGCGGACCTACAGGATGCGGGGGTTCACCAGTTCACTCCTGCGAGTCAGCGGGTGACCCACTGCACGGACGCACGCACAGGCCGGCACCTGGCCACGTTCTCGCGTCGGCCGGGGTCGAGCCTCTACACCCTGACCACTGCGTCTCCTCCTGTCCCTGCGTCTGGTCAGGTAGCTGCGTCAGGTTAGGTGTTTGCTGCTACGTCCCGGTCTGGTCCTGAGTCTGCCCCCTGTTCGTGTCGCCTCCTGTCTCACGAGACCCTCCTGTGGCACCACCGTCTTGGCCACCCCTCCTTGCCCCGTCTTCGGGGCATGGCTTCCCGTGTCCTTGTCTCTGGTCTTCCCCAGTCTCTCCCTCCCCTTCCTTCGGGACCAGGACCTTCCTGCGTCCCCTGTGTCGAGGGGCGCCTCCGGGCTGCTCCTCACTCCTCCCAGTTTCCCCCGACGGAGGCTCCTCTGCAGACACTTCACATGGACGTGTGGGGCCCAGCCCCCGTCCGTGGGCAGGGTCACGAGCGCTACTTCCTGTTGGTGGTTGACGACTACTCGCGTTACACCACACTCTTCCCCTTGCGCAGCAAGGGTGCTGTCACTGAGGTGCTGATCGACTGGATCCGCGAGGCTCGTCTCCAGCTCAGGAGGAGCTTCGGCTCGGATTTTCTTGTTCTGCGTCTGCACTCTGACTGAGGTGGGGAGTTCTCCTCTCGCCTTCTGCGAGACTATTGTCGTGCACGGGGGATCCGCCAGACCTTCACGCTTCCGGACTCTCCACAGCAAAATGGGATTGCTGAGCGCCGCATTGGCATGGTCATGGATGTCGCTCGTACGTCCATGATGCATGCGGCTGCCCCCCATTTTCTGTGGCCGTTTGCGGTGAGGTACGCGGCGCATCAGCTCAACCTTCACCCCAGGGTCTCTCGGCCTGCGATGTCCCCAGTCTTGCTGAAGACGGGGAAGGTTGGCGATGCGTCTGCGTTCCGTGTCTGGGGATCTCGGGCGTTTGTCCGCGACTTGTCTGCGGACAAGCTGTCCCCTCGTGCTGCTCCCTGTGTCTTCCTTGGCTTCCCCCCTGACGCTCCAGGGTGGCAGTTCTACCACCCCTCCTCTCGTCGTGTTCTGTCCTCTCAGGACGTCACGTTCCACGAGTCAGTCCCCTTCTACCGCCTCTTCCCCTACCGCACTCCTTCCCTCCCCCCGCCACCGGACTTCCTAGTGCTGGTTCCCCCCCCGGTAGACCCCCTCCCCCCTCAGGTTCCTGCCCCCTCAGGTGTGTCCTAGGTTGACGCGGTTGACCCGGTCGAGGTTACTGGTGACTCTGGTGCTGCTGCGGGTGCTGAGCCTGGAGGTGCTGACTCTGGGGGTGCTGTGCGCGTGGGTGCTGAGCCTGGGGGTGCCGGGCCTGGAGGTGCTGCTACTGGGGGTGCTACTGCTGAGGGTGCTGAGCCTCGGGTTGCTACTGCTGAGGGTGCTGTGCCTGGAGCTGCTGAGCTAGGGGGTGCTGAGACTGGGGGTGCTGAGTTTGGAGCTGCTGAGCCTGGGGGTGCTGAGTCTGGAGCTGCTGCGCCTGGGGTTTCTCCTGGTGCTCCGTCTCGGCGGGAGCCCCTCTCTCCACAGGAGCTGCGCGAGTGGTTTGCTCGCCGCTGGAGGCGTACTGCTGGAGCTTCTTCGACCGCCGAGGGTGCTGGTGCCGCCGGTCCCGGAGCGGCTGGACTTGCGGGTCCTACTGGAGCTAAAGCTGCTGAGGGTGTTGGTGCTATGACTACTGCTGTCTGTCCTGGCGGTGGTCCTGCTGCTGGTACTGCTAGAGGTCCTGCCGCTGGAGGTGTTGGTGGCGCCGGTGCTGCCGCTGAGGGTGCTGGTGCTGTCCCTGCTGAGTCTGGAGTTGCCGCGCGGCCTCGGCCATACTTCGTTCCGCTCCTACAGCAGGTTCTTGGCCTTTCTCCTCCTGTCGAGTGTCCACAGCCTGTCTAGTCGCAGTCACTGCTGGAGCCTACCTCCCCACTGCCTGCTCCCTCTCCTTACACTGGTCCTACTGGGGGTCTGGCTGAGCGTCGTGAGCCTGCGTCTTGTCCCTCGTCGCCTGTTCGTGCTGCTCGCGCTAGTGGTCGCGGTTCGCGTCAGCGTCTTCCTGCTGTCCCTGGCACGCACCGGATGTCTCTGCGTCCGTCCACTGCTCCTCTGCGTGCCCCTTTGCCTTCTCTTCCTGAGTCCTCCCTTCCTGCGCTTGCCGACCCGGAGTCGGACTCTCTTCGTGCTGCCAGTCCTACTGTCACGCGTCTGCTTGCTACTGTCGTCACTGACCCCTCTTTTGAGTCCGCTGCTGCGTCTGCTCTTGTCGCTGAGCTCGTCGACTTTGCTGCTCGCTGTCGTCTAGACTATGCTGCCAGTCTTGTTGCTGAGTCTGCGTCTGTCTGTCCTCCGTCCGTCGGGGGTAAGTGTGCTCTTGGCACGGACGTCCTAGAGGACAGGCAGGAGGAGTTCCAGTGTCTGGCTGCTGCTTCACCTCATCTCGCGTCTGTACTGCTTGCTCCTAAGGGAGACCCGGATGCACTAGACATCCCGACTCCGCGCTCTTACGCGGAGGCCGTAGAGGGTCCCTACTCCTCTCAGTGGCAGGCAGCTATGGATGCAGAGATGGCTTCCTGGAAGTCCACAGGCACCTACGTTGACGCGGTTCCCCCTCCTGGGGCGAACATCGTCAGTGGCATGTGGATCTTCAGGGTGAAGCGGTCGCCGGGCTCTCCACCTGTCTTCAAGGCGCGGTACGTCGCTCGTGGCTTCAGTCAGTGGCAGGGAGTTGACTACTTTCAGACCTTCTCCCCCACCCCGAAGATGACCACTCTTCGGGTGTTGCTGCACATAGCCGCTCAGCGCGACTACAAGCTTCACTCTCTCGACTTCAGCACTGCGTTCTTGCAAGGTAGCCTGCACGAGGAGATCTGGCTGCGCCGTCCACCTGGCTTCACTGGGACTTTCCCTCCTGGCACCCAGTGGAGCCTCCGACGGCCAGTCTACGGTCTCCGCCAGGCACCGCGTGAGTGGCACGACACACTGAGGACTACGCTTGCGGCTCTTGGGTTTGCTCCTTCTACTGCTGACCCGTCGCTGTTTCTGCGCACCGACACTTCTTTGCCGCCGTTCTACATCCTCGTGTACGTCGACGACTTGGTCTTTGCCACAGCGGACACTGCTGGACTCGCCTACGTGAAGTCCGAGCTGCTGAAGAGACACACGTGCACAGACCTAGGTGAACTGCGCAGCTATCTTGGCTTGCAGATCACTCGGGACAGAGCACGCCGCACCATTACCTTGACTCAGTCACACATGGTGCAGCAGGTCCTTCAGCGCTTCGGCTTCACGTACTCCTCGCCTCAGGCCACGCCTCCGTCTACTCGCCACTCGCTCTCAGCTCTGCCTTCGGATGAGTCCGTAGAGTCGAGTGGCCCGTACCCAGAGCTTGTTGGCTGCCTCATGTACCTGATGACCTGCACACGACCTGACCTTGCATACCCTCTTAGCATTCTTGCACGCTATGTTGCTCCTGGGAGACACCGACCAGAGCACATGGCTGCATCGAAGAGGGTGAAGCGCTACCTGTGCAGTACGTCGGGCATGGGGCTAGTGCTTGGAGGGCGGAGTCCAGTGGTCCTTACAGGACACGCGGACGCTTCTTGGGCTGACGACCAGGCTACGCAGCGGTCGTCACAAGGTTACACCTTCAGCCTTGGTTCCGGCTGTCTCGTGGCGGGCTACTCGCTCGTCTTCGGTTCTCAGCTCTAGTTGTGAGGCTGAGATCTACGCAGGGGCCATGGCTGCATAGGAGCTTCGCTGGCTTACCTACCTGCTGACTGACCTTGGAGAGCCGCCTCGTTCTCCTCCAGTGCTGTACGTAGACAACAAGGCCATGCTGGCCTTGTGTCGAGAGCAGCGTCTGGAGCACAGAACGAAGCACATTGCTCTTCGCTACTTCCTTGCTCGTGAGCTACAGCAGCGTGGACAGTTGCGGCTTGCGTACGTGGCCTTTGAGGCCAACACTGCTGATGTGTTCACCAAGGCACTCGCGCCTTGTGACCAACAGCGCTTCTGCACCCAGCTGGGTCTTGTACCTGTCTTGCCTCACTTGCTCTCCTTTTGACTTTACTTGTACTGTCACATATATATATATATATATATATCTGCTCTTGCTTGTTTAGCTTTATATATATATGTGTGTACTCCTGCATGTGAACTGGCCTTGTTGCCTTGCTCTTGTGCTCGGGCTGTGTGGTGACTTTGTGATCCACCCTGAGCTTTGCTTTGCTTTGCTTGACTGGTCTTGTGACCCCTTGTTCTCCCCCACTTTGCCTATAGGGGTGTGTCAGATTTATATGACATAGTTACTGTAGGCTATAGTGGGGTAACACACATGGGGTACAGGTTTCTAGGGTTGTATTTGTACCATTCTTTCCTTAGTCATTCTCATTCCTGTTCTACAACTTTCACAGTGGGCTGAGGTTATGAGTGCATGAAGCGGAAGCGCTGAAGGACCTGCTGCACCATGTGTGACTGAGTTAAGGTGATGGTGCGGCGTGCTCTGTCCCGGGTGATTCGCAAGCCAAGATAGCTTGTCAGTTCACCCAGGTCTGTGCACGTGTGTCTCTTCTTCAGCTCCGACTTCACGTGGGCGAGTGCCGCAGTGTCAGCTGTGGCAAAGACCAAGTTGTCGACGTACACGAGGATGTAGAACGGCGGCAGTGAGGTGTCGGTATGTAGAAATAGCGACGGCTCAGCAGTAGAAGGCACAAACCCAAGAGCCGCAAGTGTAGTCCTCAGTGTGTCGTGCCACTCACGTGGCGTCTGGCGGAGACCGTAGCCTGGCCGTCGGAGGCTCTTCTGGGTACCAGGAGGGAACGACCCAGTGAAGCCAGGTGGGCGGCGCAGCCACATCTCCTCGTGCAGGCTGCCCTGCAGGAAAGCAGTGCTGAAGTCAAAGAGAGTGGAGCTCGTAGTCACGCTGAGCGACGACGTGCAGCAGAACCCGAAGAGTGGTCATCTTCGAGGTCGGGGAGAAGTTCTGGAAGAAGTCGACTCCCTCTCGCTGACTGAAGCCTCGTGCAACGTAACGCGCCTTGAAGAGAGGCAGAGAGCCTGGTGTCCGCTTCACCCTGAAAATCCACATGCCACTAACGATGTTTGCCCCAGGAGGGAGA